CACCCTCAGGGCCCCCTCCCTTGGCACTGAAGGGGTTAAAATGGCTAGCGTAGTAGGGAGTGGCTTTTTTTCTGATTTGTTTCAGTTGACGAATAGCACAAGGCAGGTATGCCCACTATACCCTTTGTTATACTTAATGACAATAAAACCTCTAGTGAGCAAAATAAGAGATAATGAGTCTATTAAAGGGGTAGAGATTATGGGTGAGTCAATAAAACTTACAATGTATGCGGATGACGTGATATGTTGACTGACCCTCTGATTTCTATAGAAAAAGTCATGGATACTATAGGAGAGTTCTCATTATATTCAGGATATAAACTAAATTTAAGCAAATCTGCAGCACTCCCATTTAATCTGTCACAAATCCTTAAAGGGAAATTATATGAAAAATTTGGATTTGATTGTAATAAAATTCTATAGAATGTTTGGGTATAGAGATTACTAATGAGCCAACTAGAATGATGGAATATAATTTGTTAAATTTGTTGAAAGATACGAGTAAAACCTTAAATAAATGGAAGAGAGTGGAGGCGTCTTGGTGGGGGAGAATTAATATGATCAGGTTATATATATATATATATATATATATATATATATATATATATATATATATATATATATATATATATATATACCCAAAGTGGCTTTATCTCTTCCACATGGTGCCTTTACATTGCCCAAAGAGCTGGCTGATTTTGGTACAATCGATTTTTTAAAAATTTATATGGGCAGGGAAACACCCACGAATAAGTTTCTATCAATTGACGTTAAAGGACCACTCTAGGCACCCAGACCACTTCAGCTTAATGAAGTGGTCTGGGTGCCAGGTCCAGCTAGGGTTAACCCATTTTTTAATAAACATAGCAGTTTCAGAGAAACTGCTATGTTTATTAATGGGTTAAGCCTTCCCCTATATCCTCTAGTGGCTGTCTCATTGACAGCCACTAGAGGTGCTTGCGTGCTTCTCCATAGGAGAATGCTTTCCTATGTGACCGGCTGAATGCACGCGCAGCTCTTGCCGCGCGTGCGCATTCAGCCCAGGAGGAGGAACGGAGGAGGAGAGAAGGAGGAGAGCTCTCCGCCCAGCGCTGGAAAAAGGTAAGTTTTAACCCCTTTCCCCCTTCCAGAGCCGGGCGGGAGGGGGACCCTGAGTGTGGGGGCACCCTCAGGGCGCTATAGTGCCAGGAAAACGAGTATGTTTTCCTGGCACTATAGTGGTCCTTTAAAGACCAAACTAGGAGGTTTAGGAATGCCACAGATACAACAAACGTGGAAAGTATGTAATAGAGCAAAGGCAATTATAACCCAATCGGATACTGTAAAGAATCAAATATGGTATAAAATTGAGCAAAGTTTGTATAATGAAGGTAAAAAAAGAGGATGAGTTAAGTTCTCTTTTTTTGGAAAACTAATAGTAAATACAAATATAAACAGAGGTTTGAATCCAAGCATAGCATAGAAAGGATTTAGAGATACAAGATAAAATTACTACCAGTCTTCATCTAAGCCAATTAAATAGTAATATGACATATTTAAATATACAGAAATGGATTAATCTTGGGATAAAGGAAATTAACAATATAGTAGAGAATGGCAAATTTAAGGATTTCAATACTTTAAGATTGGAATATAATTCTGAGAGCAAAGAGGTCTTTACATATATGAGAGTAAAGGGTTATTTTAAATACCATCTACTCATAGATAAATCTAATAAGCAAGGAAACAATAGAAGAGGAAAGAGAATCTGTCCCTTGAATAAAAATCGAGAAGATACTTTATTAGTCTAATGCAAAAGACATTCCTAAAATAGACTACCTCTCACACTCTAATATGGTATTAATGGGTGTCAGAACTGGACAGACCAAAAAACCAACATTAGGTGCTGAGGGCGTTTATATAGGGGAAAAGAGGGATAAGGGAAAACTTAAAACAAGAAGTATGTACAAATTTGAAAATCTTGATGCACGATAGTAGTGGTTAAGTCTACTAAGTTAATACCATATTAGAGTGTGAGAGGTAGTCTATTTTAGGAATGTCTTTTGCATTAGACTAATAAAGTATCTTCTAGATTTTTATTCAAGGGACAGATTCTCTTTCCTCTTCTATTGTTTTCAATTATTTAGGGTTACCCCCTTTTTCTGTCTTCTATATTTGGACAATCTCATTGGCCACCTTCTTCTTTTTTCTTAATAAGCAAGGAATGCTTAAAAGAAATAGTAACAAATAAAAATATTATAAAATAATTGGTTTCAAGATGTTTTGATCTATATGAAAGAGAACCAGAAAATATAATCTGTCTTGTAATAAATAAATGGAAGGAGGACATACACATTAATATAAATTATGATGAGTGGAAAAAATCATTAGATATCAAAGAATATACATTGCCTCAGTTTAGTTGAACTTCTGTATAAGATAATGAATAGGTGGTACTTAAGCCCAAGTAGAATAGCAAAAATGTATTCAAGTGGTTCGGATGGATGTTGGCGATGTGAGGCTCATAGGGCTGGAATGTTGCATATCTGGTGGGAATGTGGGTCAATTCTTCTCTTTTGGAATATGATTGCTTGTAAAATAAAGGCATTGACTAATATTAAGATTGATCCAAGTCTCCTCCATCTATAGTCTCTATTGCAGGAATTTGAGGTTAAGGGTTTTATGTTTTGTAATGTATGTTATGTTAAATGGGGTCATGCTAAATGGGCTTGTTATAGTTTTAACTAAGATGATAAGTAATATATCAAAATGTGTAAACTAGAAGAAGATATAGTAATGTGCAATATATACAGAGATTCATAATTATGCATGTCAATATGTTGGGATGTACAGTAATGATTGTATGTACGTGATTTAGTATGTTTTTTCTAAAATAAAAATATTAAACATCAAAAAAAATAAAACCCCTTCAGTTACTTACTTTAATCCAGCGTCGGGCTCCCTCGGCGCTGGTGACCTCTCCTCCCACTCCGACGTCAGCTCCCAAGTGGAGCGGAATGTGCATGCGCAGCAAGAGCCGCGAGCGTATTCAAACAGTCCATAGAAAAGCATTTCTCAATGCTTTCCTATGGACATTCTGCACGCTGAATGTGATTTTCGCATCCAGAGTTGCAGAAGCGCCTTTACCGGCTATCAGGAATACAGCCACTAGAGGCTATATTAACCCTGCAATGTAAACTGCTATGTTTACATCTGGAGGGTTTAAACCTGGGGCATCTGGCACCCAGACCACTTCACTGAGCTGAAGTTGTCTGGGTGACTATAGTGTCCCTTTAAATTCAGATTTTTACAAATTCTAATTTATGTGATTGTGCAAATATATTGTGAAATTAACCACAATATATAGTTATTTCCACACCACCTTTCTTCATTATTACAGCACCACAGGCACTTCTATAAAGTACACTATTAGTGCAGTATGTTAACATAAAATGTGGAGAATATGCTCATCTTTAGGGTATTAAATATGGGATTGTATAATCTGCATTTTTACTATATCTTAAAAGAGTCTAGGAGATTTCTAAGAGTGTTGGGTAGACTGGTGCATAACACCAAAATGTTGTTTTGAAGATTCTGATTTTTTTGGGGGGTGGACCAAAATTCATGCATGTGGCATTTTGATTCAAACAAAATTCCACAAAAAAAAACATAATTTGGATGAAGCAAAATGATATGAAAATGGGCTAATCAGTGTAGTGCCAAAAATATACATAAATGTATATATTATGGTGAATTTCATTGCCATTTGATTCACAGATTAAGTGAGAAGTAACCAATAGAGGAGAAAAAAGTAGAAACAGTAAAAATAAATAATCTATGTTTATATATTAAATGTATTTTTTCATCTTATCCTTTTTCTATTGATCAGTGAATAAAATCTAAAAGCATTTAGTAAGTGTCCCCTAACCATCAACCATCTTTTTCCCATTACTTTTATTTGGCACCATGGACAGAATCCTTATTCATGAAGCAAACAAAACTATTGTCTGTTTCCATTGATTCATGATACATCATTTTGGAGTTATGGATTTCAGGTGACCTGCAATCTCCCTAAATTCATATGAATTGCAAATCATTTGAAACCAAATGTACTAATTGGGTTATTATTATTATTATCGCCATTTATATAGTGCCAACAGATTCCGTAGGGTTGATATTAACCTGTTCCAAATAGGGGCATTTATGCATGAATCTTCCAGCTTCTCTGATACACTGGCTATTAAGATCCCTGTTGACTAACCAGGGCTGATATTTACACATGAGAATGCATCGTATAAGGCATCTGACTGGTAAGTTTATTTTCAATCATGTTTATATGTGTGAACCCACCATTTATTGTTTATTTTCCTTCAGAGGTTTTAAAAAGTGAACTTGAGAGGACTACCTATATATAAAGGAAAATTTATCCATACTTACCGTAATTTTCTTTTCCTGGTCATATGCCATGGCAGCAGAACGATGGGAAGCTCCTCCCTATCCCTAATTAGACAGGAACTGATTAAAATACATGTATAAGTACCTCCTCCTATCCCCTCCTCCCTCAGTCTTGTTACTAGCAATATCCCAGGGCGGGACATTTGTGCTGCCATGGCATATGACCAGGAAAAGAAAATTACAGTAAGTATGGATACATTTTCATTTTTCCTGGCCATATCCATGGCAGCACAACGATGGGTAATACCCATGCAATAAGCAAGGGAGGGAAGAAGAAATAAAGAAACCACAGACTCTGAAATATCATATGCAAAATGTATTGGTACCACAAACCAAGACTTCAGGAATAAAGGGTTTCACACAGAAAGGACACTTTTAGCAAATTGGTCCGAATAAGCGGCTCTAACATTTACTTGGTAATGTCTGATGAAAGTATTGGCAGAGGACCAAGTGGCAGCTCTACAAAGCAGCTCAGGAGAGACCTTGGCAGAGGAGGCCCAAGAGGAGGAGAGGGATCTCGCAGAATGAGCTTTGAGTCCATGCGGGACTGGAGTTTTCGAGGCCTGATAAGCTTGGATGATGGCTGATACAATCCATCTGCTAATGGTAGATTTAGGAGCCTGACTGCCTATTCTACATCTGTTATAAAAGGACAAAGAGGCCTGGAGATGAACGCCAAGGGGCGGTTATATCAATCTAGATTCTGAGGCATCTCACCAAATTCAAGGAGGAAAGATCTCTGTCATCACCATCTACTTGTGGAACCGGATGGAGAGCTGGGAGAACAATTTCCTCATTAATATGAAAGGCGGAGGTGACATTAGGCCGAAATTCTGGGATAGTACAAAGGACGTCCCTGTCCTTATGGAAGACTGTGAAAGGCTCCTTGACCAACAGAGCATGAAGTTCCGAGACCCTTCTGCCTGAGGCCAAAGCCACCAGTAAGGCAGTTTTAACGGAGAGGAAATGGAAAGGTGCTGAATCCAAAGGTTCAAAGGGGTGAGACTTTAGAGCTCAGAGAACCAGAGGCAAGTCCCAAGGTGGAGCGAACGGCTTAATCAGAGGTCTGATTTTTAGTACAGCTTTAAGAAACCTGGCCACGTCCGAATCAAAGGCCCATTTGTGGTTAGTTAAAGCCAACAAGACAGATACGTGAACCTTCAAGGTATTGTAGCTCAGACCCTTCGAGGCTGGACTGAAGAAAGTCTAAGATGTTCCCTGTGGAAGGACTCTGGATCGAGACATCGCTTGAAGAAGCCCAGGAAGAGAAAAAAATCCCAGATTCCATAGTATGCATTAGAAGTGGAACGTTTCTAGCAGGGTGTCTACCAACGCATGAGAGAAGTCCTTATTCAACAGCCTTTCCCTTTCAACCTCCATGCCATCAGGGTGGAGAGCAGGACCTTGACACAGAAGGTCTGGGATTCTCGGATGACTCCAAGGTGGCTCTACACAAAGGCTCTGCAGGAGAGGAAACCAGGGTCTGCGCGTCCAAAACGGGGCTATGAGTATGAGGGAGACGCAAACCATCCACAAATCTTCACCAAACAAATTAGCGAATGATGAATTAGCGGAGAGAAATGTTTCAGGGCTTCGAGAACAGCAAAGAGTTCCAGGAGATTGGAAGGCAAGTTGTCCGCAGGGAACTTCCACTCCTCTTGCGCGAAGTCGCGTTGACAATGGACTCCCCAACCCCAATGGCTGGCATCCGTCGCTATTACTATCCACGGAACGTCTCCCAAAGGCAAGCCCTTGGATAAGGAGACACTGTTCAGCCACCAAACAAGGGATTTGTAAACTGTCAATCTTGATGGGCTGGAGTAGACTCTTTGAGGAGAATTGGAGGAGGAAGTTCGCCTGAAACATCCTCATTCTCCATTGTGCCCACCTTGTCAGTCCTATCGTGGAGGACATGGAACCCAGGAGTCTCATCACCTTCTTCGCCGAAGTCACCTTGCATGCCAACATCTCCACAACCTGTTTCTGTATTCTCAGGACGTTGTAGGAACTGAAGGCAATCAGCTGCATGGGAGGACAAAGTATCCTCGTCGTCCGCCACAATCAGGATGTCGTCCAGGTAATGGAAGAGGGATATGCCCTGTTTTCTCAGTTCTGCGATGAGAACAACAAGCACTTTCATGAAGGTCCTTGGAGCTGTGCTGAGACCAAAGGGCAAGGCCCTGAATTGGAAATGAGCCTCCCCTACTGCAAACCTCAGGTATTTCTGATTCACCAGGGCTAAAGGGATGTGGAAATAGGCATTCCACAAGTCTATTGATAACATCCACTGATTGGGAAAGACAGCCTTCACTATAGATTGAAGGGACTCCATCTTGAATCTGCGGATATGCAAGCATCGACTCAGTCTGTGTAAATTTAGGATGGGTCTCCACCCTCCCGAGGACTTTTTGGTCAGAAATAGGTGTGAATAGAAGCCGTGAGTCCTTTCTGACTCCAGGACCGGTACAATGACTCCTTTTTTGTAGAGAAGTGAAGACCTGGAGAGCAAGTCTTTTTACTTTGTTTCCCGGCCACTTTGTGATTTGGAAGAAACTGGAAGGAGGGTGTTTGCAAAGTTCTAGAAGATATCCCCTTCTGATGATATCCATAACCCAGTTGTCGCTTACGGACTACTCCCATGCCACACGGAATTGGAGCATACGAGCTCCAACACCGCCTGACAGGAAGATGAGCCTCTCACAGATTCCTGGGGTTCTAGGAGGGTGCGGAACCTCGGGACCTGTTGACCGCTCCTTCAGGATTGATTACTCCCATATTCCTTACCCGGTCTGTAGGATCTGCTATCACAAAACGGGTAATAATCCCTTTACGCACGAAAGGAACCTTTGGGTCTGTTGTCTTGAGGCAGAAAGGCCTTTTTCCCTTCGGCTGCTCATTTAATACAATCATCCAGATTCTTGCCGAATAACATGTCGCCATGAAAAAGGAAGGGAGCACAAGCTGCCTTTGGAGGAAGCATCAGCAGACCATGATCTGAGCCATAGCGCTCTCCTGGTCGAAACTGAGAGAGAGACATATTTCTGGCTAAGGACCTCACCAGATCTACCACAGCTTCAGATGAGAAGTCAACAGCCAATTTCAAAGCTTTAGGCTGTCCAGTATGGAGGGACGGCTCCTGCCGTTCTTAACATACTCCTCTAAATTCTCCATCCAAACCTTAAGCACCCTGGATACTAACATAAGATCCACCGCTGAGTGCAGGCCAGTACCTGAAGCCACATATGCTATGGAAAGATTGAAGTCCATCTTTCTGTCCATAGGGTCTTTGAAGAAACCTGCATCATCAACAGGTAAATTGGTACATTTGGCCAATCTAACCACGGCTGCATCTACCTTGGGAGCGGAATCCCATGTTTCAGCGTCAGTGTCCTCAAAAGGATACAGTCTGAAAAATGTTCCTTTTGCAGAGGATTTTATGTCTGATCTGGACCATTCCTCTTTGATGAAGTATTTTATAGTCACATGGACTGGAAAAGTCACCCTCTTCATCCTAAGGACAGAGAGGTGGTGATTGGATGTGGAAGGCTCATCCTTAGAAGGTTACTTCAAACTGAGAGTCTTGCAGACCCTGAATATCAAATGGTCAATTTCAGCAGGTTCCAGGAAATCTGGAGCTGGAAGCACCACATCCTCAGAAGAATAACCCAGATCTCTCAGGGATTCCATAGACATACACTCCACATCAGAGATGTCTGGAGAACACTCAGAAGGTTCCAAACACCTTGGTCGCTTCCCAGCTTCCTGAATGCCCAGAGCGACTGCTTGTGAAATATACAGAAATATGTCAGGCGCAGGTTGGATGGAGGACTGTCCTTGAGATGGACCTGCAGCCACAGATAGGCTAGAAAAACAGAGACGTTTCCCCTCCAGGGCTCTGTTATCACAGGATTCACATTACGTTCTTTTGGGTGACTTCCCTTTGGATGACACTGAAGCTCTAGTCCCCTTAGAACTGCAGAAACAGGGACAAAACAGTGTATCAGTGATCCGCGCTCTTTTTAAATGTTAGAGAAAACAAACCAGAATAAAACATGGCTTATCTATAAGACTTAGGTTGTGACCTTTTGTTTGGTGGGGAAGAATTAGAATTAGAGGAATCTGAGACTTCCATATCCATCTGCAGAACCAAATGCAAGAAAGAATCTCAAATTGAAATTCAGAACAAATTGAAAGATGACACTTTAAAAAAATAAAAAGACATTTACCGAAACGAAAATCAAGTAATGCAGCATTCGCCAGAACAATTCCCACGAGTGTGTGAACCAGTGAATCAGACAAACGGGCTAACGAACAGGCGAACAAACCATTCGTGTGAACAAACTAACGTTCACCAGAATTCATAAAAACAGCCAAAATTCAAGCGAATTGATACACATTTTTTGCATTACTATTTACTGCACTGCTCATTGCTTCAGTTGCCATTTTGATTTGATCTCAGACCAAATTTAATCTGTGCTGCCTTTGGTTTTAGATTCCAACTTTCAGGAACTTGAAGTAGCTTGCTGACAGAGGTTTATACATACAGAAGCACTACAGAAGAAGAATTTGGTTGGTTCCTTTTGGAGGGATCTTTAATTCCAAGTAGCTATCAAAGAGTCATGTAATTGTATCTGCTTCTACTGTGATTTTGTGAATGTTATTGTACACAGTGTACTGTGCATTCTAAGGTCATTATCATTGGTCCATGGCTATTCACTTTGATCCTCCATTGTCCCCTTAATGGGAATTTTAATAGTGTTTCTGAAGTTTTGGTTCAACCAAAAAAAGACTTAGGATACACCCCCTCACTTATATCATATGGCCAGTTGAAGAATTGTGAGTTGCACAATTACGCACCAGTTCTTAAATGCTCTAAATTAGGGATTGCAGCTGCTGGTCAGAATTTTGATCATACTTCTCAAATATGTATAGTAATCAAGGATTTTCCTGATGCTCTGCTTTGTTCAGGTGCAAAGGACATATTTCCTTGGATGACGGTTCTGCACCAGTATCTTTTAAGCCCTATCTGACCAGACTGAGAAGGGTTTACTATATCTTTAAGAAAAATCCTGTATATTAACTCATGTTGTAGATGTTTAGCTCTCCTCAAGAAATGCCTATGGTGACGGATAAATGATTTAAGATTTTGTCCTGTACCCTTCCACATCCTATTGCAAATGCCTATTGCATTCCTGAGAATTAGAATCGTTGTCTCTCTTTTACAAGGTGAATGGCACTATTTTTTAGCCAAGAAAAGACACGAAATGAAAATTCATTAAAATTTAGCTTTTTTCTGTTTTTATTGATTATTTTGTTTGTTTTGCTCCACCAGTGGCATGGTCTATTTCTTCACTGCAATGTCGGAAAGGTGTGGTCATCTTTGTCCTGTCACAGAAAATGTTTCACTGAATTTGTGAACTGCACATTTGTAATTTTGGTCTCCATGGTCTCAGGCCAGTTTACACAATCAAACACACATGGGTGTCCAGAGAAAGATTAATTCCATTCATGCATATGATTAATTCCATTCATGCCTTGGTGAAATAGACAGCGATACTGGTATGAGGCAGACTCATCCCAGCAATTTCCAAGGGCCCCAGTCAGTCATTCTTATAGTCCCTGCATCAACTCGCTGGACTTGATATGAGTTGCTTTTGGAGATATCTATGTGCAAACAGTCTCACAATGACTTCTTTTTTTTTTTTTTACAGTCTAATTTTAGCATTTTGTTTTTCCAACTTTTTGGAAAGCAAGTTTATTGCTTTTTCAAAAGAAAGGAAGGGGTACAGAAATGAAAAGGGAGGGTAGTTTTAGCATTTTGACTTCCAGACTCCATCTTTGATTGCCTG